GTTTAACGTTAAGTTCATACACATTTTCATTAGTAATTTCCCTTATGAGAAATTCTTGATGAGTTTTGTAAAATGTTATATATACGTGTACAGAATTTATTTGGATATTAATAAAAGTGCACAATTTACGTGCAATTATAATGTAATTTCTACGTGAATTGCAGCCATGATACACAGAACAATTTAGACTGCATTCCAAAATTTCTCTCCGAGTAAAATTTTCCTCGGAGAGAACGTTTTGGAATGTAATCCTAAGTAGTAGCAGTAAGGAAATCCAACATGTTGGATTTGCTGTACTGCTTATTATGGCTTTACGGTCTCTACTGTAATCGGCCATTAGCTTTCTGCTTACGTTTCATTGCTTAAGTTTTTTTTTTGGTATATTATTGTACCTATAAAATTTATTTGTACAAATGCAATATTCGTCGTAGTTGCTAACAGTGTTAATATAGCATACAGACTGTATTTCTGTTACCATCATCAGTTATCAGAGTTATCTTATCGACGTACGTTTACATGTGTAACGAACTTCTCAAATCTTGATTAACAAATCTTTTCGCGCGCTCGCAGTACATACTATTTATCGAAATTAATGCTTTCCGTCACGCTACATTCACGTGATTACGTCATATTTGCGTGACGGAATTAAGTCCGCTAATTTCCGCGAAAGATTTATATCCCATCCCGTAAAGCAATTCTCGCGTTATCTATTTCCTACATCTTCATCATTATCGAGGATACGATATCGAGGATACGATCACACGTTCCTCGAGCACATGTCCCGTGCAACACGCGTGAAGGATAGTATCCGATAGTATCCACGCACTGTGCAAGTTGTAACCTTCAGGTGGGTTTAAGGGTGGTTTCGTCGGTGCGGCGCGGCGCGGCACGGCGGCACGTCAAAGGGATCGGCGGCACTCGGCCGCGGTGATTCGGCGTGCCGCCGCTTCGTGATTGGTCGGAGCGGCTGGCCAATCAGCGGCGGCGTCGTCTACTACGCGCGCTCTACCCGGGCAGCCAGTGTACCGCCGGTCGCGTACCTGTTCGGATTGTTTCTGTTTCGTTGTTTGCGCTTCGTCACTCGTGAAAGCTCCTCAATCTCTCGTGGGTGGATTGGTGGCAGTGCCTTGCGAGAATAGATATATTGAGATATTCGTTCTTTCATTCGCTCTTTCTTCATCTCTTCTCGTACAATTTTTTCTTTTTCTTTTTTTTTTCCCCCCACATCGGATAATGATTGGTCCACGTCGATGTTGAGGACCGGCGCGGGCGCGACGATACGAAGCGCGACGAGATCATGTTATGGAGATCGGCAAGTTGACGTCCTCGTGTCTCGTCGCCGCGCTACCTCCCCGCTGGACGGTGGGAGGGTCGGCAACCCCTTCGCCGAGTGATCCCCCTGCTCGAGTCGACAGCCGCCCCCGCCCCCGTCGTCGCCGCCGCCGCCGCCGCCGCTGATGCAGCCGCGTGCGAGCCGCTGCCTCTCGCTCCCGGGACCGCCACCGCCGCCGCCACCACCGCCTCCGCCGCCACTGTCGACCGTCGACGCCGCCGACGCCGGACGCGATCTTCTCGCGCGAACCAAGCGGGAGATCCATGATAGAATAGGCGCGCGTGTATTTCCACCTTTTTTTCCCCTCTCTTCCTACTGCGCCCTGCGCCCCGTAATAAGTCGCAATAAAAAATCGACCGCGAATCTTACCGCACAGTTCATTATCGCCGCTCTGATCGCAGTCCTCTATCGCTACCTCCTTCGTTAACAGGTGACAATTCTTCAAATACGTAATCTACACTTTTTTAACGTAGGCGGCACGAGGGATGCTTGGTACTTTCGGATTGCGTTTAGTTCGGAAACATATTGGATGCAATGTAATAATGTCCTTAAGAAATTAATCAATTACAATTGAATGTGAGAAGCACGGTCGGCTATGTGATTGGTCGGTTTCTTAGGACTTGCTACATCTATTGTGTTTCGTAAAAGCTGTTGGTTCAGATGTCTTCAGTTTGATTTAATTTCATTGTGCGATGATAGTGATAGTATATGAGAAATGAATTCGGTAATAAATTTTAAACCGTGTCTTATGGGTTTATTTGATGTAAAATGAGAAATTTCTCGGGTAACGTGCCCCTCATTATGTTTCATAGCGAACACCTACAACGTTCATTAGTACGGTACCTAAATTGCAATGTTTGGCTCTGAGCGTGACAAAGAATACGTCGGGTCGACAGATCTTTCTAAAGCAAATTTCTTTTGTCTGCGCGCAGCTCGCTGTTACATTATGATAATTGGAGCTCTTGATGTCGAAATAAAAATTGGAAAAAATCTTGGAAACTTGAGGAAATCTCGGAAATTCTTTATGTAATTGAAAAACTTATGATTTACAGTTAATTAGTCAATTGTAAAAAATAATAGTTTGAAAAACTGATCTCAACAGGGTATAATAAAAAAAATTAATAAACGGAAGAGATTTATCAAAATTTCACAAGATTGAAATTTCTATATACAGATTGAAGTAGTCTATATGCAAGAAAATTTCAAAACGGCAAAATATGCAAATTGTGAATCTGTTATTGGTTGGCGAATTGTCAGTTTCGATTATTCGCATTTCTCTCGTACGTTTTAGTCTCTTAATAAAAGATATTTATCGTCATTTTAATCGAGAGACAACAAATTTGCATAATAATTTCTTATTAAGTAAGCAAAATTGTTTAAACAAATATGAAAGTATGGAATTATCGACGTGTCTTCGTTGATATAAATTTGACTAATTAATATAGTGAAATATAAATCTGGGAGAATTGTCTAATTATTTAGAAAGTAAAAAATAAAATAATACGAGTAATACAATGCGTGGATCGAAATAGTTTGAGACTGATATTGCGATGCAAGGAACAAAAGACATAATTGTAACGCTCTACTGATTGCCAGTTACGGTCATCGATTGACGATTCTATTTTAGCCGATTACATTGCAGCTAGTTCGTATTCGCTGCGTCTGATTGACTAAAATAGAACATATGTTACAACCGGTAACCGTAATCGGCAACCTGTAGTATAATATGATTAGGGTTTAAATGCTTAAATAAATTGCTTTAGATGTAACGCGTATGCTTTGATTTTATTTCTTTGAAATGCTAATTTATATAATTGACCATTGTAATACTTCCTGCATCAATAAGTATGGATCGACAGGGAGCTTATTTATACACCTTACGATATGCCTGATGACCCCGTATCATTATATATATATATATATATATATAATGATATAAATATTTTGACATTAATCTTTAACATTTTCCGTAAATCCGCGTCCGTCAATGCTGGTAAAGGCGGTATGTTGGAGAAAAATTGTTGCCTCTTAAACTTCACATCGGTTTTGTCGTGAAATTATACGCGAAATCCACCTTATCGTTGATTCTTTTTAATATCTTATATTAAATACTGCATTATTCGCAAGTCGTGTTACTTTGTATATTTTGGATAATATCAAAAAATATAAAATTAAGATATAAAAATAATGATATAAAATTGAATAAAAGTAAGCCATAAAAAGATAACTATTTTCTACAATAATCTACTGATTTATAATTGAAAATATAGTTTTTATGTCACAATAAAAAAATTGCTGAGCTCTAGTCTAATTTAATAATTAAATGTTAAAAAATTAAATAATTTAATAATCAAATATTAATAAATATTTGGATTTTAATGTAAAAGTCTTTCTTTTTCACCGCGTACCATTTGATCTTCTTTCATATCTCGAAAAAGCAGGGAAGTCTGATAGATTTCACGCATCAATTTCTGTACAGCTCTTTCACATCTGTCACGACATTCGTCTTAGTTTTTATTAATAAATTTCGAGCGGCCGCACCCAGAATCGATCTCGAAGTTTTGGCACAGTAACCTTTCGCGAATTCCAAGTCATCGATTTTTATGCGAATAATATTCACTCGTCTTATACTGGGCTATTTTTACGACTCTAACAGAATGACCCCGAAATCTAGATCTAAGACGCAGCTTCAGCTTATGTCCGTGCCTTACTAATAGTGATTAATAGCTTATATGCACGCCACACACTATCATACGGGAGAACTGCTTTATCTTGAAAATTTCTTTAACTTTAAGGGTTGGAGCACAGAGTCTTGCATAATGCATAATTTAATGCATAAGAAAAGTGAACCAATCAGAATCCTTTATTTCTTTCCTTACCATGAAATAAAAGATTCTGATTCAGCCGATTTTCTTATGCTTTATACATTATGCGTTATGCAAAGGTCTGTCACTTCAGCCTTAAGCCTCGGGTCACATATGTAACTTACATCAGACTTGCCTTGTCCCTTTACGGGTCCATTTTTGTTTACTTGCGCTATCTTTCTTCCACGTGGGATAAATCTATGCCAAATCCCAGCAACGGTTTGATTATATACCAACAAATACTTTTTGCGCCAGTAAAACAAAAATGTTTAGTTATTCATACAAAAACATTTCTCTCGGTGAATCTCTTCAGGATTTTGCAAGCGCGAAACAAAATAATTTCGTCCTTACTCGAATACGCCTGCATCATGTATATATTTCGACGTTCTCAACAATTTCGGTCCCATCCTATCGGGTCGTTATCAATGTGACAATAATTACTAAGTATGATTCGTTACCACAATTTCGACAATCACTAAATGAAAAGAAAGAACGGTCTTACGATATAGTTAGAATTGATTCTAACTCATTTTGTTCCGCTAACTCATAACGTGTCGGATACTCGCACATTGTAACGTCCGCTCAGTTGTAAAGACGGAACTAATTATCCGATCGGAGGGAACATTGATATAATCGATAAGCGCGCCGTATGTAATTATATAGAGTGTTAAAAATATCACGCTTTATTTTACATCACGTACACCCTGCTCGTTACCAAGACTTAACGCATTGTCGTAAGCGTCGCGCGCGAACTTTTCGTTCGCACACGAAGCCGTGATCGTGTGGGAAAAATATTTTGCAGTTGTCCGTTGTTCGAAAGGGAGTTTCGCGCTTCCGCCGATAAACGCGAGATCTCTAGGGGAAGAAGTCTCGGGCGAGACGCGGCGGGGGGGGCAAATCGATAGAGGAAACGCACGATGAGACGTACGATGAGGGAGAACGTGCCGGCGATGGTGTAACCTCGCGGGTCACTGGACATAAGAAAAGAGCGAACGGAAGCTGGAAGAGAGAGAGAGAGAGAGAGAGACACGGTCTTGTCCTTGTGGGCTTTCGACAATTTAAGCGCCGGCAGGATCAAAGGTCATGGCAACGCCGCCGGACTCGCCGGGACCGGAAGAGGCGTTCTTCGACTTCGAGAGCACGAGGGCGAGGCAACAGACCACCAGACCGGTACCTATAGAGGAACTTCTGCGGCAGACCAAGTTCTCCCGCCAGGAGATCCGAGTCATGTACCGAGGCTTCAAGCAGGTACGTTCCTCTCGACCTACCGCAGACACCATCGATCCCTCTCGGGGATCGGGCCCTCTCTCGAATTGGCAAACGTGAAATTATGCAGGGGCGGGGGCGGGGGCAAAAGCACTTTTATACCGTCGTATTCATCGCAATTTTTATCACACCACTCGTTGTAATATGCCAATGAGCTTTGCACTTCGCTGGAAAGGTGCTATCAATTTATTTTCATTTCATCACCGAGCTTGCAACGATTTTTCTCTTGTATGCGAGACTTTCTTGAATTTATTCGAAATTGTTTTATACGCACAGTTGTTTTGCATTTTTCATTTACGATTGAAAATTTCAACTGAAAAACCCGACTCGCATCCCAAGAGCGAAAAATGTCAAAAGGGAAAAAGTAATTTCCCGATAATATTAATTTATTTAAGAAACGTTCCCAAAGTTATTAATTCTCACGCTTTGCGCTTGTCATTGAATATCTTTGAATGTTTAACGTAACAGAATTTGCCGTATGTCATGTTTTATCGAATGACAAATGAAATGTAATCAAGTGTGCGTCATATCTGTTACTTCAACTTGGAATTATGCCGGAGGCAAGATTTCTGAACATCGTTTTGTTCGTTATTGCAAGATTGTAACAACGGTTGGTAGCTGATATAGCATAGTTCGTATTCATATTTTTAACTCTTTCTTTATTAAAGATAGTCTCGCAAAGTATTGATTATTCATGGGCATCCCACAGAAATTGTGTTAACGCGGTTACGTAAATGAATTGATTATAGCGCCGTTGGACTCAATCATCAGTAAAAAGCATTTCTTTCCAATCGATTTACTGCGTTATCATCGAACATTTGGTTAACCTTAACTATTTGTGGTAAACGTTATTCGTAAATTTTAAACTCTTCGAACATATACAAACATTTTATATTATAATATTTATAAACAAATCTGATATCTCTGAGACATTTCCGAAAATCAATTAATATGGAAATTATTGACTAATCAAACTCGATTTATGTGGATGAAATGTGGGTGGATACACCGATTTGTACTGAATTTTCACGCAATTTCTGCAGCAACGTGAGTGAAGGTAAGGCAATGCAGCAACGAAGTACAAATTGCGTTAGCAATATGGAAACGATTGTAGGGGGTATAAGACATTTATATCGACCTAGAAAACTTTCGGATGCGTATCCGATTGTAAGAAAGAGTACAGCAGTAGAAACTACTTGCATAGCGGTATAACAGAAAAATAATAGAAACTTGGCACTAGACAAACAAGTTCGTATAGCCAGAAACGGATTTGGCTCTATTTCCAATCACAGTTTTGTGGCTGAATTTTATATCACTCGCGTCTATTTCCATTCGATAGATATACGCGATAGAGAAGTTTCCAATAGATTTTAACAGAAGCGATTGTAACCTTTGTAATATTGGATTACTAACGAGCTATTAAATGAATATAATACTCATATTAAGTTCCTGATAATACAACTTATTTGTGCGCGGATAACTTTTTTTTAAATCAAATCTCATATTTTCTCTCTCCCTCTCTCTCTCTTTTGATTCTATTTTTCTCTTATATAGATATTTATATATTTTTGTTTTTGAAGAACGCTTCAGAGGAATTTATTCCCGGAGCACTAAATAAATGATTTCTCCCTCCCTTTTTAGTTTAAATAAACTGAATTTAAATAAAATTCTTTATACGATGAAACATTAACGTACCGAATTACACGTGTGTTTCTTCATATTTTCAACTGAGTGCGCTAAATGATAAAATACTGAAGTGTCATCGGCAAATACCCGTGATGATCATCCATGGACGTAATTACATATGCGATGCCACTTGCTCTACTCTGTTAATTCACCGAAGTGGTCCATGTCGATATTGAATCTACGGGCTCTCGTTATACGTTCGCGCTTTGCGGTGCATAATTTTTCGCTGGCGCACGGTTCGGTGAAACTCAAAGCCGTGCACGCTTCGAAATTCTGTGCGGTCCGTTACTTTCACGACTCTCGCAAAATATTCACCAGCGAGCGATCGCCAGCGAGTCAGTGCTCAATCCACCTGACGTTCAGCCGATGTGCGGTCTCTCCAAGGCTGTCCCCAACAGTAAATATCTGCAAGTTCTCGCGGTTGTTCTGTACAATATATTCTGGAAATGACGTGTATCTCTCGCTGACAAAACTATGCTCGACTATGTCGCAGTGCGATATCGTGACAGTATATATAATATTGTAATAACACAAAGTATTTATCAAGTATATAACGTGGGTTCGAATGGGGGTACCGTACAGAATGAACGTTTCGACTCCACCTCGAGAGGCATATTAATTATTTGATGTCTTTTCACAGCCAAAATGTCAAATGGACCTGAATCAGACGTCGTAATCAGTTCTTGATTTTCGAAATTTTTTTCTTTGGAAACGACCGCTGATCGCTAAAGGAGCACTTATACTGGCTGTAATCGTATGTTGTAATCTGTAAGAATTGACCAATCACAGTCGAGTATTCCTCTCTTATGAGGACTGAGAGAGAGGAATTCTCGCATACACAGAATATGGTCGCGAGCCATAAACCGTAAAAATAAATTAATCACGGTCAATTATTTTTTTTTTTTTTCATATTCAACTGTGATTGGCCAATTTTTTACGGCATTCGACCCTATCGTAGAACACAGGGCATAAGACATCTTGGCATAACGTAACGTGTTGCATGTGTATATAACACTGCACGATGTTATATGCTGCATTGGATCGCTAATGTACCTACGCTCAATCATACCATAGCACCTTTGCCCTTAATATTAAAAGCGGAGATTAAGCAAACGCACGCAAGCACATATTAGAGTAGCAGTCCGTTGCAGAATTTAAGGTTATTCACTCTCGACAGGAGGTGGTTCAATTTACGTAGTGGGACGTGGACGAGCTGTCCGGACGCTAATTTATTCAGTAGCCGCTTGCACAATGACTCGCGTATTGTTGTAACGCGAATAGGTGCTATAGAATGGCATAAGCGCGAACTAAGCCGTCCCTCGGCGCTTTTTCACGGCCGCCCGTATATTTCTTCGCAATCGCGCGCTTTTAACGATATCGCACGCGAGATACCGCCCCGGCTGAATTGAGAAAATC